AGTGGTGTCAGACAGCCTGAGGCCATAAATCTGTCCGGCCACACTTGTTCCCTGCTCTGCAGCCCCAAGGCCACCCCAAGGTCTTTCCAGCTCCGGATCTGCCACTCCCTGCCCACTGCGGCAGCTCTTTAACCAAGCGTGGCATTGGCAGCTCTGCCTCTGGCACCTGGAGCATCCCAAGCTCGGAAACACATGGCCCCACGACGATCCTGTGCCTGGAGGAGGAGCACAGGCAGTGCAGGCAGCCTTCCTGCCCAGGCAAGGCCTTGGGAGCAGCTGCAGCTCTCCAGCTTTCTCCCTGCTGGCCCTCCCACGAGTTTTTCCCCAGTCGATGCTGGTCTCAAGGGGGGTACCCCAGGGGCAGTACTGGGGCTGTTCCCCATCCCTGTTGGATGAGGAGGCAAGTGCAGCCTTGCTTGCAGGTGAGGCTAAACCTGGGGAAAGAGTGTGCAGAGTCTCAGTGCAGGTGGACCCCGAGAAATCCAAAATTTAGGTCAAGAGAAACCTTGTGAACATCAACAAGATGGGCAAGATAACCTCAGGTTTCATCCAGGCTGGGCACCGAGGGACTGGACAGTCCCTTGTCTGGGACAAGGCCCTGGATTGGGTTCTGGACAAGAAGCTGGACAAATGGGACAAGCTGCAACCTGGGTGGCACGAGGAACAGTGTGGCCACCAGCCTGTCCCCTCCATGCAGCACCAGGGGACCCCCAGCTGGGTGCAGAGTGTCCAGAGTGGCCCCTCCAGTTCAGGGAGAGGCAGAGGAGCTGCAGAGGGAGCAGATGCTGCTGGCAGGGCTGGGACCTGGGGCTACAAGAGGGATGGGTTGGGATTAACCAGCATCATACCTGGAGGGCAGGTGCCTTGGTGACAGAGCTGGTCTCTCTTGGTAGGGCATGAGATGTACCAAAGGACAAGGGGCATGAATTGCAGCTTCAGGGTGGGCAGTAGAACTGCAAGTTTTCCCCTGAGAGGTGGAGCAGCTGTGGGACCTGTGAGGTGGGCAAGTCCATGCTTCAGGATGGGGTAAAGCCATGGGTGACTTTTCCTGTGCTGGTGGTGTTTCTGCTCCAAGCAGGAGGGTTGGAGACCCCCAGGGGCCTTTCCCCACCAGCATCATCCTGCGAGCCCAGCGGGGACAACCTCCCATCTGCAAATTCTTTCCCATCCCCAGGTGGGCCAGGAGCCCACCCCACACACCCAGGGCCCCTCGGCAGCCAAGCTCCTGTGCACTGGAGCGTGGCCCCATCCCAGGGCCCGTGCTGGCATTGCCGGGAGGCCTGGCCCCTGCTCCCGGCATCAGCTGATCCTGCCAGCGAGCTGGTGCTGCAAAGTCAGGCACAGAGATTGCCAGGGCACCGGCCAGGGGAGAGCAGGGGCAGAGGGACGAGGGGCTCGGGGAGCCGAGGGCAGCTCTGCCCTGAAAGCCGAGCCACCTGCGTGCTGCTACCTGCTGAATAATAGAGGAGCTGACAGCCGGCGGAGAGAAATGTGATGCCGGAGAGCCGGCCGGGGAAGACATCTGAGCTCCCGGCAGCTGCGATAGCAATTGCAGGGAGGGAGCCTTCCCCCCGCTGCTCCGTGCGGCGCAGCGTGGCCGGGCTGGCTCCAGGGGCACGGGCTCGGGGCTGGGAGGATGATGTGAGCTGCAGCAGGCACCCAGCGAGGCAGAGCTCAAGGGCACAGCCGGGTTTCCCGAGAGGTGAGGCAGAAGGAGCCTGCCTGCAGCCAGTGCCCGCGCCCGGGGTCCAGCAGCTCAGCCTCATGTCCAGAGGAGGGGAGATGGTTTATATCCCAGATGACTCCGACTTCAGCTCCTTCAGGGATCAGTGTGAGAGCCTGGAGGGCTGGCACTGTCGGTATAACAAGGCTGGTGTGACGGTGTGGAGTCAGGGCCAGGAGGAAAGCTGCACCGTGCAGAAAATCAAGGTAAGCAGACCCTCGACCTTCCCTGCCCCAGCTGTGGGACTCCCGAGGGTCCCTGGGGTGCTGACCACGCTTGGGGTGCACAGTCCAGCCTGTCTAGGGTATTTCTGCCCCAAATCCCAGGGCTGGCAGGGTTAGACCCCCAAAGGTGCTTCTCCAGCTGCTTTATCCTCTCGACCTGCCGGGATGCCCAAGGCCTCCTGCCCTGTGGGCTCACATTGCGCTGCCCTTGGTCTGGGCACAGGTGGGAAGGCCCTGGGATCAGTTACCTTACGGAGATGGCCTTGCTGGGAGCCCCTGGACGTGAGACAGGGATGGGATCCCTCCCTGGTGTCCTTTCCCTGGCTCCCCCATCCCGGGGCACATCACCTCCTATCCTCACTGGATGAGCATCTCGGAGAGTTTAAGAGCCCCCGTGCCCCTCAGGTTGTTGTTACACCTTGTTGCTCATCCAAGCAGCCCCAGTGGCACTGCCAGGTGACCTTGGGCGTATCAGGAGAGGTTACAGGGGCACAGGAAACCCATCTTAGGTGGGCTCCCTGTGTGGGAGCATCCTGCAGGTCCATGCTTGGTGGTGTCCATCCATGCAGGTCCATCCATGGTGGGTGTCACAGGCTTTGGTTTTTCTGGCCACCAAGAATCCAGACTGCCGGGCAGGGACGGGATCCACCAAAACAGGGAGAGGGGCAGAGCATCTTACCCACAGGACAGCCCACCTGACTGAGAGAGTGTTCAGCTAGGAGTGTTAGGGGAGGGTTACCGTGACCTGAGGAGCAGGGAAGGCATGGGGAGGTGGTGGGGAGGGATACAACACGCTGGAGGAGGCTCTTGCACCACTCTCCTGAGCACAGAACAATCAGCAGCACATCTCAGGTGCCTGCACCCCAGCACATGCAGCTGAGGAGGCACCAGGAGGAGCTGGGCACATAGTGCTGCTGTGGATGGAGGCCCCTCGGGGCCAAGGAGAGGAGGAGGAGGAGCAGCAGCTGTATTTCCTTGCTGCCACGAGCCAGGGAAGAGCTTTTGGACTAGAATCAGGGAGCACTTAAGCCAGTTGGGCACACACAGGTCACAGGGACACTCCCAGGGGTGCTGAGGGGTCTGGCCAAGGTCCTGGTGCCTGCAGGAGCTCCCTGATATCTGGGAAGAGGCCATCCATCACACCCATCTCCCAGAAGGGAGGTCCAAGGTACTATGGGCTGCTGTGTCGCCCCCATCTCTGGGAAAGAGATGGAGAACATTGTCCTGAAGCCATGTCCTGAAGGAGAAGGGCAGTGGTGACAGCAGCAGGGACCTACCGAGGCCAAATCATGCCTGAGCAGCCTGATTGCCTCCTGCAGGGAGAGAGGTCTGGCTGTGTGGGTGCTGGGAGGTCTGGGAGAGCCCTGTGCTGGACAGGGCCCAGCCTTGTTCAGGGTGTCCCGCAGTCTCCGTGTCGCCACATCCCTGAGATCCGGACTGGAGAAGTGGATGCTGCTCTGTGTGATCAGGGCAGGCTTGGAAGGACAGGCTGGCAGGAA